ATACCTGTGCATTGGGGGGATAGTGGGGGAGCCCGTGTAGCTGAGCAGGGCCAAGAGTCAAGGGGAAAGGAAAAGGCAGGCCAGAGCAGCGAATGGAGGGCCGAGTAACTGGAGGCGTGGTGTGACCCTCCCCCCCACCCCAACCAGGATGTTTGGGGGAGGACATTTGGCAGGATGGATCAGTTAGGTTTATGGTGTATTGAGTTAGGTGTGTCTGTTAATTGAGGAATTCTGGAAAGAGGCTTGTGGTACATAGGGATTTGGGCATATAGGTGGTATTCGAAGCCACGTGCACAGATGAAATCTTCCAGGATTTAAGTTTAGACCGAAGAGAAGAAAACCAAACCTCTGAGCCCTGGGACATTAAGAGGTTAAGGAGAAGAGGAGGAGCAAGGAAAGGCGACCAAGAAAGAGAAGTAGCAAGGTCATAGGAAAACCAAAAATATGCCCAGAAAGTGGTTCAGAAAGGGGGGTGTGCGAGCCACTCAAACCCTGCCGCTAAGCTAAGCAGGGAAGGGACCAGGAAGGTGCCACTGGATTTAGCTCCACGGGAATCGAGGCGGCTTGCATTTGTTTGACCAGTTTCGGTAGATGGGGGCAAAACTGGAGACGGTGAATATAGAGAACTCTTACCAGTTGTGCTTCAAGGATGAGCAGAGAAACGAAGCAGCAGCTGGCAGGGGAAGCAGCCCGTGGCTGCACTGATAGGAATGCACTTGTCCAGGATGAAACGTTGACACGTGAGGAGAGAGGAGAGAACCGCTGGAGCAGTGTCCTTGAATAGACGGGGGGGTTGTCTAATGTGCAAGTCGAGAGATTGGCTTTAGGCAGGAACCTAGAGAGTTCATCTGGAATAGCAGGAGGAAAGAGAAGGCCATGCAGGACTGGCGCCAGTGATCGATGTTGTGAAGGAATCTGCAAAAGCTCTCTTCCGGCTGCTTCAGTTTTCTCAGTGAAGAAGCAGGCAAGGTCGGCAGCGGCCAGGATAAGAGAGTGATTGAAGAGCAAGCAGAATGGGAAGTGGCCGGCTAGGACAGTTCGGCAAACTTTATCTTAAAAGGGCCAGAGGAAATCCGTCAGGCTTTGTGCGCCTCGGTATCAGGGTCTCTGTCACAGGTGCCCAGCTCTGCTCTCTTAGCCCCAAAGCAGACATATACAATAAATACATCGATTTTCCATGGCTATGTTCCGGTAAAATTTGATTTATAGAAACCGGCATCCAGCTCGTAGGCCACAGTATGCCGACTCCTGCTCTAAGAGAGCAGAGGAGTGATAGACTGGGGATGTATGATGATCACCTGGCCGCGGTCAGGGTCCCCCTGAGGTCTGTGGCCATTTGCTGAAAGCGCAGACATTCAGCGTGGTTGCATGTGTTTCTCCAGCCAAGTAGTTTCTCAGCTACTGAGGTACAGGCATGGAGTGGTGAAGAATTGGATCTACTGTGTGTCAAGCAGTGAATGTGAATGCGGAAAGGCCAGGGAGTTGAAGTTATGTGGACCGGTAGTATTGTAATGACCGCTGTGGAATTTAGGCTGAGTCAAGAGATCATCTGATGGGAACCCGTGGATGGGCAGGCCCGGTGGATTGTTAGGCTCAGAATGTACTAGATGGCGTGAGGTGGCAGTCGTAGAAGGAAGGGGTTGCCGTTATTAGTGAGGCCAAGGTGGTGGGCATGACCATGGACGTGAGCAGCTGGCATTCACAGAGGACAGGGTCACTAGGGCAGAGGAGATCAGGATGCCAGAGGCCAAGGTGTGGGGGATCATCTGTCTGCTGAGTCACCAAGAATCAAGGCAGGCATGGTGTGGGAGGGGAGGACAGGGCCCTGTTTCATGACGGTCCCAGACAGAGCCTCAGAATCACCACCAATTTTTAGAATAAGACAAGAAACCTGTTTGTCTTGAGGTTGTTAGACTGCAGCAGATGAACAAGAGTTAGAAGGTAAGGGGGCTGCATAGATAGAGGCCAGAAGCATGATGCCACTTTTGAGAACAGCAGGTGGTTAGTACTGTGAGTTTACAGAGCCAGGATAGATGAAAGCAGACAGGTCCTGTGGTAATGGGGGCTTAAAAAAGTAGGCCACATTGGGAGACCAGTGAGGAGAAGGAGGGAGCAAACTGACGAGACCATTAAAAGGGTTGACTGTGCCATCAAAGCCCCAAAAGTGATCAGAGGTCACCAGCCAAGTAAATGCCAGAGCACTGTTCTAGAAGGTATGAGGGGTTTGAAAAGAAGGAGACAACAGTCCCACCCACAGCATGCTATCGGGTAATTGAAAGATGAGAGGTATGTCTGTAACACAGCAATAAAACATACATAGTGGAGTGCTAATTGTTCTAGACACAGGGTCAGTGTAAGAACTTAGAAAAGAAAGAACACTTGGAACTTGGGTTTTGGTCTTGGTTTTGGTGTGGAAACGGTTTGTTGTGAGACTACCGTTGTTACTATTAAACCCTAGCAGTCTAGGTTATCATCTTAATTACACCGAAAGTAATCTCTTTTTATTCATAGGATTGTAAGACAAGAGATGTGACTGATGATGTAAAAGATATTGTAAGATTTGTTCAAGAACATAGTTCAGCACAAGGAACACGAAACAAACCCCCTGCAGGTCCTTCTGGGAGATTTACTATGAATATGCTGGTCGACATTTTCTTGGGTGAGTTCTCTGTTTTATAGTTGCAGTTACAGCAGTTGAAATTGAACATCTACAGAAATCATCTCAAGTACGTGGAAAAAAATCTCTTTTGTCTGTCTTGTAGAACTTAAGGATTTCAGAATAAAACTTCTTGAGTAACAAAAGAAAATCAGCTTTTATGAATGATAACAATTATTTGTGTAGAATTTATATGTTACTAAGGTGAGGTTTTCACATTCAGAGAAGCAAGTAATAGGGCAAAGTGGGTACAGGGGATTAAGAGGTACAAACTTACAGTTAGAAAATGCAGATGTCACGGGAACGAGAAACACAGCACAGGAAATGTAGGCAATACTGTTGTAAGAACATCGTGTGGTGTCAGTCGGTGTCATGGCGGGCGGAGCATAATGTGTATAGTTGTTGAATCACTATGTTGTACCCCCAAAACTGATATAACGTTGTATGTCAACGATACACCAATAAAAACAATAGGAATAATAAAAATAGATACAAAGAAAATATTAACGCATATACAACCTCATCTGAATGAATGGACTGTAACTTGCTTGGAGAGTCACCTGTTGAGTGACTTCCATTTCCGGACGGCAGCCTGGGCAGAAGTATCTGTCTTCTTTTTTTTGTTTGTTTTGAGGCCCTGTCAAAATAATAGTGTGGAAATAAAATGGGGATTTGATTCACAAGGGCATCGGTAACCAGAGAGAGCCCATCATCAGATTCAAGATTTTTCAAATCTTTTAGGGAACGAATGGAAGCATGTTGACGAACGGAATGAAATACAATAAGCCACCGTGCAAAATTAATGAAGGAGAGAGTCTTAGACGAGGAGGGCTCTCAACCAGGCAGAACTCCCATTATCAGGAGGCCTCAGACTGAGTCTCCAGGTCCTGGGGGTGGGAGTGTAAGCAGAGGAGCCACAAACAGGAGGGGGCAGTTAAAGTCGGCCCACGAAAGAACTCCATCAAATGCCAGCCTGGAATGGATTCCAAAACAAAAATCAAGTGCCCGAGGAATAGAAAGGCAGCTGAGTTAGGGGCCAGAGCCCCCAAGCGGCATTTGGGGACCACCCAGCCTAAAGCAAACCTGCAAACTGGATATCTCTGTTCACTGGAGGGATTTAGGGGGAAATAGATACAAAATAACGGGGGGCAAACCACTTCAGAAGTTTAACCTGATCCCTGAAGGTTAACTACAACTGGATAGTCAAAGGAGAAACCAAGTTAAGTGTTTGACCCTGAGTATAGAGACAATTTACAAAATAAGTAGTAGCTTTAGGGAGAAAGGAGGGCAAACTCATAATTTAGTTTCTTCACAAAGACTTAAGTAATAATAGAATGTTATGGGAAAGAAACAAAGAATGAGAAAGAGCTGTTAAAAATTCTAAGTGATTGACGTAGTAAATTTAGTGGAAATGTTGGAAGGTAAAGTCAAGAAAATCTTTTAAGACTTGAGCAAAAAGATACATGGAAAATATGAGAAAAAATATAGATCACTTCTTAGGAGATGTGAAGTCTGACAAAATTTTTGAAATAGAATTAGAAGGAATTATCAAATTTCCCTGAATGAAAGAGTAAAAAATAAAAAGCTTTCAGATTAAAATGTCCACCGAATGCCAAAGGAGATGCTTTATGAGATTTAAGGATACCAAGAGTATGGGGCACCTGAGTGGCTTAATCGGTTGAGCATCTGACTCTTGATTTCAGCTCAGATTAGGATCCTAGGGTCATGGGATCGAGTCCAGCATTGGACTCTACGTTGTGTATGGGGCCTGCTTGGGATTCTCTGTCTCTCCCTCTCTTCCGTCTCCTTCTCTCCCTCTCCCTCTCTTTCTCTCTCTTCCCTCCCTCTGCCCCTCTCTCCCCAGCTTACTCACCCTCTAAAAATAAAACAAATCTTATTTAAAAAAAAAAAAAGGGGGCGCCTGGGTGGCGCAGTCGGTTAAGCGTCCGACTTCAGCCAGGTCATGATCTCGCGGTCCGTGAGTTCGAGCCCCGCGTCAGGCTCTGGGCTGATGGTTCGGAGCCTGGAGCCTGTTTCCGATTCTGTGTCTCCCTCTCTCTCTGCCCCTCCCCCGTTCATGCTCTGTCTCTCTCTGTCCCAAAAATAAATAAACGTTGAAAAAAAAAAAAAAATTAAAAAAAAAAAAAAAAAAAAGGATAAAAAGAATACCAAGAATAAAGTGATGTTGGGGAAGAAAAACTTTTCCTCCACCCTGTTAGATTTAATGTTTGGGGGCCTGTGAATTAAACTGACAAAAGACAGATTTAATCAAAATGTGGCTCAAAGGGCCTATTAAAATTGGGGCTTAGGGGTGCCTGGGTGGCTCAGTTGGTTGAGCATCTGACTTTGGCTCAGGTCACCATCTCAGGGTTTGTGAGTTCGAGCCCCACATCAGGCTCACTGCTGTCAGCAGTCAGCCTGGATCCCACTTCAGATCCTCTGTCCCCCTCTCTCTGCCCCTCCCCTGCTTTCATGCTCTCTCTCTCTCAGAAATATATAATCATTTTTTAAAAATTGGAGCTTATATACCATCTTAATAGGGGAAGGGGAAGAGGGGAAAGGACACTTAAAGGAAAACAAATGTTGGGGGTGTTTTTGGAAAGATTAATGGGCCCTTAGAATAGAAGAGAGGGAGATAAGATAGTTTTGTGACGATGTTTAGGAGTGGTATGGAGGCTTCTCATCTCCAGTGATAAAAACTGGTCTTCTCTGGTTACTCCCAGGGAGAGAATTTATGACATTGGAGTTTTGGGGGGAGGTCTCTGCTTTTTACAGATAAGAGATTTCAGGAACTCAGATGCCTTCTGCTCAAGGTAATTTTTATGCCGCAGTGGCATATTCTGGACCCCTTCTGGAATATGCCACAGTGGCATATACTGGAAAGAAAGAAACCAAAGCCAAACTGGCATCAGATTAATATCAGCAACCCTAGAGTCTAGAAGGCAAAGAAGTGATACCGTAAACAGGGAAGCTGACCCATGGGTCCGGGGAGAAGAAGGCCCAGATCCGCAGCTGTGAAGCAGGTCCAATGAACAGTCTGTGCAGATTGTAACAGAAAGTCAAGAAACACAGGTCCCAAGCAGTGTAGAGAAGGAATAAGAAATGAAAATTTTTGAGAACAGTGAAGGACGCATATTATTTCTCAACAGAAAGAGAAAGGCACTTAGAAATTCCATGGGAAAGATTATGGAAAGAGAGCCAAGGTCAAATATAAAACAAAGGAAATTGTCACACGATTTTGAGTCATTGATAAAATGTACCAAAAAAATGATCCATTTGTCTGGATGCAGTAAACATTCTCCGGAGGGTTACGCAGGAGTCAGGACTTTCTTAGTAGGGACAGAAACTTTGCTGACAACCTACAACGGTTAGAGGCAGTGTACAGACTTCAACGTGTGGGGCGCAGGACAGGGTGTGTTAATCTTGATGATATAAAAATATAAGTACAGTAAATAAAAGAAAGTACTTGGAATACTCGAGGTATTAATAACCTCCGAGGTAGAAGGTAGGGGGAGTAGCCAGAAGTTCTATCTAAAGTTAGAAAATAGGGGCGCCTGGGTGGCTCATTCGGTTGAGCAGAGTCCGACTTCGACTCAGGTCACGATCTCACAGTCTGTGAGTTCGAGCCCTGCGTTGGGCTCTGTGCCAACAGCTCAGAACCTGGAACCTGCTTCGGATTCTGGGTCTCCCTCTCCCTCTACCCCTCCTCCGCTCATGCTCTGCCTCTCTCCGTCTCAAAAAT